GGGGGGGGCGGAGAACGAGGAGTAGGAGGAGGAGGAGATGGGGGAGGAGAGAAGAGAAAGGAGACGTGGAGGGACTGGAGCGCACTGAAAGGGTCGGGGAGTACCATTTGATCCCCCAACCACAACACTCCATCGCAGTCGAGCAGGAACGTGTCGTAGCGGTCAACCCATGATGGAATGTCTTCAAGTGGCAACCTGCAGGGTTCGAGGCGGAGGAGGGAGGAAACAAGAGGAGCCCGGTGTGAGTCGGGAAAGAAGGGAGGAAAATGTAGGAAGGGGAGTAGATGGGAGGAATAGGAGGAGGAGGTGGTGGAGGGAGGTGGAGGGAGGAGGGAGAGAAAGGAGAAATTGCTCAATCAGTTTGTGATGTATTCGGTAGAAGCAAATTGATATCGCATACCAGTGGATTTGCCTGCGAAACCATTATCAATGTAAAGCCCGATGCATGAAATCAAGGCATAGACAGGCATAAATGACATCTATGACAAGGAACAACATGCCTAGTCACCAGGAACACTCTTCCAATTGTGTTCAGCTGTCTCAGCGGTTTGATGTCTGCTACTGACTCATCAACAATCTTTCCGCTTCCTCGCCCTTTCTATATCTCTACATCCCTACATCTCCTGATCTCCTCCTCGTCCTCGTCCTCATCGTCGTCATCATCATCATCAACATCATCATCATCGTCATCGTCATCGTCATCGTCATCGTCATCGTCATCGTCATCATCCTCGTCAATTTGCATTGTTATCTTGACCTTCTCTTTCTCCATGCCATTAACGCCATTGCAGCAGCAGCAGCCGCCGCCGCCGCCGCGATCCGCCATGCCATGGTGACAGTGTTGACTAATCTTTCGGGGAATGGAGGCCAGGAAAGGGGGTGGTTCCTGGGACGACGGGGGTGCAAGAGGGCCATTCAGGGGGTAGGCTGAGTACCGGTAGTACCAGGCAATAATTGATTGTCCTACACAGTACCCGTCCTTTCTGGCATCTTTGGAGGCACTACCCCTGAGATACATGGGGTGTAGGACTACCCCTCCTACCCATCCCCTGCAAGAAGACGGCGATGCTGGGGCCGGCACGAGGGCAGGCAGTGGGGGGAGGGAGGAAGAGGAGGAGCAGGAGACATGCGATATAAGAAGCATGATTCGAACAAGATGAAGAAAGCGATGAGACAGTGAGAAGATACTTGAGAAGTAGGACAGATGTCAATGTTCGCCAGAAGATACTTGTGAACACAGGCGAAAGCCAGGGAGGGCAGGCTTGCAGCATATTACCTCATTGAACTTGAAGGATGTTTGCCATCAAACTGAGATCTCTTCTGCTTATCGACTCCTCCTGACTCTGACTTGTTTTCAGGTTCCCCTTACCCGACACTGCCGGCATGATCGTCAATCGTTATCCGTTATGCGCTCAGGGCCTGCTGCGGTCCTCCTCCCTCCCGCCCTCTTCAGCCGTGCCAGCAGCACGAGCTCCGTGCTTGAGGTTGCCAGGAGTGCCAGAGAGGCCGCGAGAAAGCTCGCAGCTCTACCGCTCGAGGACAGGAACGACGCGCTCAACAGGGTCGCCTCTGCCCTTGAGAACGCCAAGACGGAGATAGAGACAGCCAACAAGTCCGACTGTGAAATCGCTGCCAAGCCTGAGTCCAACGTTGCTCCTCCCCTCCAGGCTCGTCTTAAGTTTGGCGGCTCCAAGTTCCGAGACACCATCCAGGGTGTCCGGGACCTGATGAAGCTCGAGGATCCGATCGGCCGCATCCAACTCCACAGGGAGCTCGATCAAGGCCTCGTGCTCAAGAGGAAGACTGTCCCCCTCGGTGTGCTCGGCATCATCTTCGAGGCTCGTCCCGATGCTGCTGTTCAGATTGCCTCTTTGGGGATCAAGTCCGGTAACGGTGTCCTCCTCAAGTGCGGGAGGGAGGCGGTAGGAAGCTGCAGGGCCATCGTCTCGGCGATCAAGGACGGGCTCAAGACGAGCAAGGCCTCTCCTGATGTTGTTGCTCTCTTGACCACGAGGGAGGAGACCGCAGAGATGATGAAGATGAAGGAGTATGTCGATCTCATCATCCCTAGGGGATCCAACTCCTTCGTACAGTACGTCATGCAGAACACCGACATCCCCGTCCTCGGCCATGCCGACGGCATCTGCCACATCTTCGTCGACAAGGCTGCTGAGATCCAGAAGGCTGTTGAGATCGCGACAGACAGCAAGATCCAGTATCCCTCTGCTTGCAACGCCGTCGAAACCATCCTCGTCCATGAAGCTGTCGCCAAGCAGTTCCTCGAAGCCTTCGGCAGCCGCGCGGAGAAGGAAGGTCATAACCTGATCCTGATCCTGATCCTGATCCTGATCCTGATCCCCCTCCCCATCCTTCTGTTCTGCTCCTACTTCTTTCCTGCCTCTGCTCCTGCCCCTGCCCCTTCCCTGCTCCTGCTCCCATGTCCCCCTCCTGCTCCCGCGCCGCGTGACTGTCTAGGTGCAGGCATCGAGATCCGAGGGTGTCAGGGAACCTTGAAACACGTGAAGGGAGCCGAGGCAGTCGAGGCCGACTGGTCGACCGAGTATGGTGATAAGATCGTCTCCGTCAAGGTCTGTGACAACCACATTCTTACCTGCTCTTCTCCTCGCTTCTCCTTCTCTTCCCTCCCCACCAGCCCCCTGCCCCCCTCCATTGATCCTCAATGCTCTTCCTCTCCTTCCACTCTCTCTCTTTAGTCATCCCATGCTGCTCACTTCCACCTCCCCTCCCCCTCTCTTCCTCTGCGCCAATGCTGTTTGCCTCCCATCCTCTCGCTCCTCCTCCGCCCGTCGCAGGCTCCATTCGCTCACGGCCACCTATCCAGATTGTCCCCAGCATGGAGTCTGCTATGCAGCACATCAACACTTACGGGTCTCGCCACACTGACTGCATCATCACTGAAGATGCTAGCGCTGCTGCTGTCTTCCAATCCCAGGTCATTCCCACCTCCGCTCCACCCTCCTCATCTCTTCTACTCTCCCCATGCTTCTCCTTCCTCTCTCCTCTCACCTTCGTCTCCTTTTCTCCTTCTCGTCGCTTGCTAGCCCATGCTCTCCCTTACATGCCCTCGTCTCCAATCTTCTCCTCATCCTCGTACACTCATCCCATGTCTCATCAAGTCCTCACGCGCATACTCCCAGGTCGACGCTGCAGGCGTCTACTGGAACTGCAGCACGAGGTTCGCCGACGGCTTCCGCTATGGTTTCGGCGCCGAAGTTGGAATCTCCACCAGCATGATGCCTCCAAGAGGGCCGGTGAGAGGAGCGACAGGAAGGCTCCGGGCCTTGACTGAGAATGGCAGGTCGGGCTAGAGGGCCTGGTGACGTACCGCTACATCATGACTGGCAACGGGCACGTTGTCAAGAGCTACACCGGTGACGGTGCCAAGTGAGATGGTAGGACTGTGACGATGTTGATGCTAAGATTTGCTGCAGGCCGTTCACCCACAAGAACCTCCCGCTTCAGTGAAGTGTATCCAACATGTCTTCTTGGTATCAGTAAAGGAGATGTAAGAATCGTTGCATACTTGCACACACAGTCAAGTGAATCGAGAATGACAACTGATTGAGAGCAAGGAGTGCTTTGACAACAAAATGTTTCGCCAAGTACACATGTACAAATTTATTGAGAAAATATAGTAACACATAAGAATCAAACGAAAGTCATTCATGATGCAATGCCGGGTGTACATCCGGCCAGGGCGTGCCAGGCACTCCAGGCGTCCTGGCTCATGGCAAGGTTGGCGACGCTCTTTGGGGAGGAGTCCTTGCGGAGGAGGGCGCGTGAAACAAAGGCCTCGATGTCCAGCAGCTCAACATCCTTCTTGTCCTTCTTGCCCTCCCTGCGGTTCGAACGCTCATACTCAGCACGTGAGAAGCCCTCGTCGACGCGATGCTCAGAGGCGTCCTCTGCTGGAGCCTCCCTCCTGTATGCCCTTGACATCTCTACCTCAGTCTGCCCATGTGTCATGAGCGCGCAGACTCTGACCATCTCGCCATCTCCGCAGTCATCAAACTCCATCTCGAAAGCTCCCTCGGCAAGGGAGTCCACATTGTCCATGGTTGTTGGAATCATGTTGGCCTCGGAATGTGGAAAAAAGGAGTTATCAGCTGGCGGTGTAGGATTTCAGTCCCTCCGATTCAAATCTGAATCACCACAGCTGTACAGAACACAATGAAGAGCAAAGAAGCCTAGCTTTCAAGCAGCTTCCAGGGGAGAGTGAAGGTGAATCTGGTAAGGGTGCGAAGAATATGGAAGAAACTCTGCTGCCAACTTGAGGATACGGAAGCTGGTTACGTTGGGTTTCCCTGCATGCGCTTTCCAGGGAGCAAGGGTCTTATGAAGGGAAGGATGGGAGGGGAAACACTGTGGGGGTGGGGGTGAATGCATGGGGGTGGGGGGTGATACTTCGTAAGAAACCCAATTAGATTCAGGGTGGGGTACAGGGATTCCGGGGGTTACCTGTTCAAATACCCCTTTTGACACTGCAAATTTGATTGGTCGGTACTAAATATACCGGTGCATTTCACTGTTGATTACCATACGAAGGCTAGGGTACTAATCAAGTTGGATTGAGGGTTATTAAAAAAGGGGTTGAGGTGTAAGGGGGGTATTTCAAGAAGGGGTGGGTGGAATACAATGGTGTCAAACGACTGAAGGGAAGGGTACAGATTTGTGTACAGGGGGGTAGGGGTGGTACATCGGTTTGGAGGCGGGAGCAGACATAATTCGGAGCGACATTGTACCGGTGCTTTGCAATTCAAATATGGGGGTGATACCTTCATACCCGTGGTATTGCCTATGAAAACATTCGAAAGAGTAGGCATCAAGGGGGTGGGGGTGGAAAGGGAATAAGACTGGCAGCTGCGTGGTGGTCAAAACGGACTCTCGATCTCACGTGCAGTGGGTACTAATGGGGTGGGGTGGGGTGAAAGACAAAGGGTAGGGGTGATAGAAACCTTACACAAACAGGATGAATTCTGCTAAAAAGTACGGGTTATCATCTCATTGAAGGGGTGGGGAGGATGGTAGAGGGCGGGATTGTGGCTGAGAAGGGCAGCCGGTGTAGGTAGAGAGGTCATAAAGATAATTCGAAAGTGGATTGGGTGATAAGATAGGGGTGGGGACCTTTTTATACCGGTCTTTGCATCACAAAATTAGTGATATAAATATGGGTGGGGTACTAAATTCGTCATTGCAGGGTGGTAAAGCAAGGAAAGTTCTACAGCATGAGGGAAAGAAGGTGAGGAGCCTCGAGTTGGGGGCTCCCAGGTGTGTGGTAATCGGGACACAGGGGGGGTGGGGGTGGTTGGGGGTGAAGCTAATGGAAATTCGGAAGCGGTGTTCTTCAATGTCGATGTACCCCCTTGTTTCTCAAAGAATTGCGCTAAAATTCTGGGTGGGGTGGTAATGCACGTGAAGATTTCCAGGGTCAACGCCCTCACAAATGTGATACGATTCGAAATAGTGTTTGAATACATTTTGAAATTATTCAATTTTATTTAAGCTATTGCCTCGCTGGCGCCAAAAGTGATCGAAATGCCGGCATAAACGGGACCACCTTTATGGGGTGGGGAGCAAGGAGGCGGATCGTGCGATCAATCGGTGTAGGACGACTCCGAGGTCCTAGGTAGGTACCTAGAGAGGTTCTATAGACCCCCATCTAGGGGATTAACAACGAGTGTTCCAAGGGGGTAGGGGGAACTAGGGGTAGTAAAGATGGGAGGATGGGAGGAAGAGGCATAAGAAACAGGGCATAACGATAACTGAAATCAAGTCTGTAATTTTGAAATTTGGAGGAGTGAAACCGTCAACTCTAAAAAATGGGGGGACTATAAATAGATGTAATGCGATGCTGGATGGCGGCCTCCACGCTGGCACCGGTACAGATCGCGATGATCTAAATTAGTTTTAGTGTTATTTCAAACTTATACAATGTTTTTAATATTTCAACAGTAAGATGTTGGGGTCTACACAATACTTATAATAGAACTCAAAAAATTTTAGCACAAGGTGCTGACTGAGTGAATCGGCCGCGGGCCCATTGAAATTCCCCGGGCCGGTCAGTTTTGCGAGGCCCCTGATTTAACATTAGTACGAGGGCAGCATTCAAAGTACTAATTGATAAAATTGATGTCCTAAATTCATAGATA